GGCAATATGCAAGGTACTTAACAAAGATTACCCTACTTTAACAACTCAGTAAGGATACTATTCTCAGCCAGGTCTGGTGGCTCACACCTGTAAATCCCAGCACTCGGGAGGCTGAGGAAGGAGGATTGCTGAGTTTGAGACCAGCCTGGACTACACAGTGAGTTCCAGGTCAGTCTCAACTACATAGTGAGACCCTGTCTCAAAAAACAACAACAACAACAAAAAAGATACTATTCTCATATTATCAGAAAAAGTTAAAGTAACACAGCTAGTAAAGATAATACTAAGTGCCAGAAAGTTTTGCTCCATTTTTATTATTTGATATTTTTTTCTCAGAAACTAAACTTTGCATGTCTTTCAAAATGTTATAGTGAAGGCCAGGGGTTTAGCTCAGTGGTGCCACACCTGCCTCACAAGCTCAAGGACCAGTGTTCCATCCCCCGTACCAAAAAAAAAAAAAAAAAAGTTGCAGTGATTCACCTAGATTCTAAATTACATAAGATTATTTGATCAAATAATTTATCAAGAGGAAAAATTTGGCCCCTTTTCAACTTAAAGATAAATTAGGACAGTTAAATGTAATTACAGTTTTGTTTTGTTTGAAACAAGGTTGGCCTCAAGTGATGATCCTCCTGCCTTATTAGCATTTTTACCAGACTGTAGTATATATACTGTGCAAGGTGCTTAGTAACAATTTGAGTACTCTTCTACCTTTTATAGACCACTTAATTTTCTTACTAAGTAGAAGATACAGCCTTGCCAGGTATGGTAGCACATGCCTATAATTCCAGCACTCAGAAGATTGAGGAGAGTTCAAGGCCCACTTGGGCTACATAGTGAGTTCAAGGCCAACCTAAATTACACAAGCAAAAAAGAAAGGTACAGCTTTCCACTGTAGTTCAGAACAACAACAAAAAAAATCGGTTTCTAGCACAAATAGAAGGGACTAATAGAGAAACAAATAATCTTGGCTGGGGATTTAGTTCAGTGGTGCTTCACCTGCCTCACAAGTGCAAAGTCCTAAATTTGATACCCAGTACCGCAAAAAAGAATCTTTACTACATGATGACAGAGCATCTTAAATGAAAATGCTTCTAATCCCTCCATACAATGTTTTAATACACATAATTTTTTTAGAAGACATGAGACTTCTTTAATGAAATTAAACATCAATTTTCATAATAAAACTTCAAATACTTTAACCCAACAATGGAATATAATGGAATGAAACTACAGGTTTTATCTTCTCACCTCTGAGCCCCCTACCTCCTACTTCCTCTACACCACCACCCACCTACTCACCCCAACCCTGTACCAAGGACTGAACCCAGAGCGCCTCTGCACTGAGCTACATCGCCAGCCCTATTTCTTTTTAAAACTGAGACAAGTTGCTAAATTGTCTAGGTTGGGGTAAATTTTGCGATCCTCCTGCCTCAGTGTTCCAGAGTGCAGAGATCACAGGTATGCACCCTCACACTCAGCTCTCATATATTTTACAATAGGAAATCTTGAAAAATATAAAAAATAATTCCTCCATGAACAAGTTCAAAAAAATAGTTGGCACTCTTTAATGGGACAGTACCAATTTTACATAAGGCTTGCCTGCAGAAATCACACTTTTTATGGAGAGTTTCATTCATATTATGATCTTAAACTGAATAGCAGCCCTTAACCAATAGGTATCAAAAAAAATCTGAATTTCTAAAAGTTTAAATTAGTACAAATGCAATTAATTGTTTTAAGTAACAGACAGCCAGACACAGTGGTGCACACCTGCAATCCCAGCTACTCCAGGACTGCAAATTCCAGACCAACCTGAACAATTTAGGGAGACTCTGTTTCAAAAGATCTGGAAATATAATCAGCAGTAAACTACCCCATGTTTGATCCCAAGTACCATACACACATACAAAAGACATAACTGATAACCAAAAAGAGATACAAATTAATTAGTTTTAATACACAAAAGAGAACTTATTTCTAGGTAATAGGAAGAACCGATTAATCTTAACTCTAATTTCAACAGTTGGCCCTTAGATAACTTCTGAACTAAGTATTCATGTCTATTAAGAACCAGCAAATTACTAAATTATTTATATCCAGTCTTTCTGGTATCCTGTAACTAACCCATTTTTCTTATTGGTAGAATGACGTCGTATCAAGGGACCAAATATCATGTACACATCTTGATAGAAAGCTCATTTTATATTAACACATTCAATTGGTTGCCACATCCACAGGTTTGTTTTTTTTTTTTTTAATTTTAGAAAATACAATAGTCATTTTCTATCTAGTTTTTCTATTTTAGTTCACTGGTTTTGGGACTGTACACTGCTGCCTCTTTTTAAGCTTCTCAGAGGCCTGAGATATAGCTCAGTGGGAGAGTGTTTTCCTTGCAGCCTTGAGTCTGATCTCCAGCACTGCAAAAAAAACAAATAAAAACAAAAACAACTTCAGAGTTTAAATTTGAGATACTATTCTAGTTGATTCTTACAAATTCTTCCATGTATAAAATGAGTTATAACAAAATTAACAAATCAGTTATCAGAATGCCAAAAATTAAGTCATTAAAAGAGAATTCAGAGAAAGAGCCAGCTGAGAAAGAACAGGAAGTGATATACACTGTAATTTCGTAGATGAACTATTTAGAAACATAAGAAGTGCCATACACATCTGTAATTGACCCAGACTAATCATTCTCAGTATTCTCTTTCAGACAGTGTTATCAGAGGTCATCTGAAATAACCCTCAGGTAGTTTTTCCTTAATAATATATTTATCAAATTGATCATGAACACACTCTTACCACATTTAGGCAATTCCTACTAGCTATGCAAAACAAAGTTTGTTTTTAGTTGTCCTAAAGAGTATTATTAAGCAGGCACATGCCTGTAATCCCAGCACTCAAAAGGCTGAGGCAGGAAGATCACTGTGAGTTTGAGGCCAGCCTGGACTACACAGTAAGTTCATGGCCAGTATGGACTACATAGCAAGACCCTGTCTCAAAAAAAAAAAAAAAAAAGAGAGTGGTTATCTCTTAGTTGTAGTACAGTAACATATACCAAGTAGTTAACCTATACCCTGTGTACATTCTGAAAATTTGCAGCCTTATTTGATAAATTCTGTCTTCCTGCATCTTTCTAAGATAAAAGCAGTTACTGTTTACTGAGCAGTAAGCTTGGTTTTATACATGAATTAATTATCTGCAACAAACCATAATACAGAAAATTAGGCTTTACGGTATAATTTGCCATATAGAAGAAAACTACACATCACAATATGCAGCTTTATGCCATGAAATAAAGATTTAAATGAATAGTGCTGTTTAAGTAAGCTGAGATGAATATCAAAAGAAAATAAAGGTAAAGTGAATTCTGTACTGTTGAGAAAAAAATCAATTATCATGGAATAAAGTGACACAGAAACTAAATTCATGTCTACCACTGTTGCAAACATCTTTCAATCCTTGTATTTAAACAGGTTTCAATACATAATACAGCAACATATAGCATTAAATGACAAAATAAATGCAGAGGTATTTTTAAATAATTCACTAAGTAAAGCTTAAATACCACATACAGCTTGTAGGTAAATAAGACAACTCTTCTATAACACATTTTAGTCATTTTCATCACTTTGTGAAAAATTATTTAATTCTAATATTCGCATATGGAACACTTTAAAATCATGATTAAATCTAAACACTTGAAGAGAAAAGGTACTGAGCACATCAAGACTCCTTTAAAACTTGACAAGCACTTTTTGGCTTGTTTTTTTTATTTATTTCAACTCTAAGGACAAAACCAACAAATACTACTGTAAATCAGTTTATAAAGTACACGTGACATGAAGCCAAAATGAAAAATTATGATTATCGAATACAGATCCATTACAGTATAATTAAGCAATTAGTTTACTATCCTGCATTTCCTTAAAAACCAAACATTTACTACAGGAAGGCCTGTAACCTAATCATTTTCAGACAATTTCAATTTCAATATTACTCAAAATAGTATTAACCTTAAAAATTCACAGCCCAGGGGCAAATGTCCATCAGACAGCCTATCTGTATGTAATACTCTTAATATAAATTTCTTCAAGAACTACAAAAGCCACAGGAGTGAAAAAAAGGGAAAATGAAAGGATACAAATTATTTTATATGACTCCTAACGAAAATTCAACTTGCTCAGAAAATGTTAACCCAGACATTTCTCTTAAAAAGAGGGAGCAAGAAAGAGATCAAGTGTTCTAACACGAGAAGGGTCCCCTCGAGAGGCCATATCGCCCAGGAACAGGAGCAGATAAACTTCCCATGGAAAGATCCAGGAAAAAGTATTAGCGGAACTGTTATCAATTTAAAATCAAAGGAAAAAGAGTAACCTTTCCAAGGGAAGCGCCATTACACTTCCCTCTCCTGCTCTCCCTCCCTTCAGTGTATACATGGGTCTGTGTATGAAGGAACTGCCTTGGACTTCTGCAGCACTGCAGTAGACTAGAGATTGAGGAAGGGGGAAGGGTAGGGGAGAAGCGCTTCCATCACCCCACAAAAGAGGGGTACAGACTTCCTGAGAGGGAGGGGATGGAATCTACCCAGCTACCAACTCAAAGTAGTCTCCTTTCCCAAGAATATTTTGCAAAGATACTACAAAGGAGAAGAGGGACCAGACAGTAAGGAACCTCGCGAAAGAGGGCCTGGAGCTTTTAAATAGGGGTGCACATCAACCCAGGCTCTCAACCGGAGCCACACCTTCCCCGAAACATACCCTTCCACCACCCCTTCCGGTGACCCTCAGGGAAAAGGAATGTAATTGCTCTCGCCCCTCCAAACAGTAGGGCACCCAGCTCACCAGCTTCTTCACCCCACCCACAGAATCACAGACCCTCCTTGTCTCCCTCCGCCACCCCACCCTCACATCCTTTCTATCACACAGAGGCCTGAGTGGGCCGAACTTCCCCGCCCCCCTCCATGTCTCCCTTTCCCAAAACAGAGGTGCCCTTACCCTTTCGCCGACAGGTCTGGGGCGGAGTAAGCAGCCCCCCGCAGCGCTCCGGTGGACTTTACGCTGGAGCGCCAGGAGTGAAGAGGAGGGGGCCCGGCGACAGACGGTCCCCCCCCC